CCCCAAAACCCCAAAACCCCAAAACCCCATGAAGGTAAAGTTTGAAAAATATGATATTTTTAGTTGATTAATCTATAGAGAAGTGACTTTCAATCAAGAATATTAAATTTAAGTCTGTCTTCGGCTATTCTGATAAATAAATAGGCTCCACTGCCAATTATAGAATCATTATAGTCATGGTTTGAGTTATGCAAAAGTCTTGTAGTTTCTCCTGCTTTTCCAGACCCTAGCATGAAGAAACACCCTGGGACTTATTACAAGTAATAGGAGAAGTCCTCGCTTGCAGTAAGTGGTACTTCTCTATCTGATACTTTATCATCACCTAAATATTTCGAAGCGACTCTTCTCACATGGTCTGTTTACTCTTTATGATTTACAACTGCTGGGTATCCTGGTTTTATATAAACGTCGCATTCACAATTAAATCCTTTTGCAGTGGTTGTAGCAATATGTCTAATTTTCTCGTGAATTTTCTATCTTGCCTATTCATTAAAAGTCCTCAATGAACCTGTGAGCTCAGCTTCATCTGGGAACACGTTATATGTAGATCCAGAAGTGAATTTGGTAATAGTAAAAATGAAGTGCTCTTTGCTTTCAATCATTCTAGATCTGATTGCTAAGAGGTTTATATGAACAGCAGCTGCTGCTGAAATAACATCTTGAATCATGTAGGGAGCAGATCCATGGCCTCCTTTGCCTTTGATTGTTAAATAGATCATATCGCTTGCTGACATTACGGATCCTTCGCATACCCTAACATCTGCCTCATGGAAATTAGGTACATTATGATATCCGTATACTTCTTGGACTCCATCTAAGCATCCATCTTTAATCATTTATCTTGCACCAGCTAGACCTTCTTCAGCAGGTTGAAATAGTAATCTAACTGTCTTATTTGATGGAATTTTATCAGTATTCTTTTGCAATACCTATGCTGCTGACAATAGTGTTGCCATGTGACCATCGTGTCCACACATATGAGCAGCATTTGTCTTGCTTGTGTATTCTATATCAGGATTGTTTTCTGGCATGAAAAGCCCATCCATATCTGCTCTAAAAGCAACCTTAACAAGTTCATTCTCTTCTAGATCCTTTGCTGCACCTGTACCAGTTATATCAACTACTAGACCTGTTTTTGCAGTAACTACGATCTAAGTTTCTTGAATTCCAAAAGATATGAGATGCTCCTTGATCTTTCTTTGAGTTTCATACTCTTCAAACCCTAATTCTGGATACTCATGAATATTCCTTCTGAAAGCTACTATTTTCTCAATGTCTAAACCTTTACTGACAAGAATCTGCTCATGCTCTTTTTTTAACTCATAAGTGTAGGTGTTGATTGATGTAGGATCCATTTTCTATGTTAATTTAGATAATATTAAAAACACAGTTAAAAGATATTTGAAATGTTTTTCATCATTTAGATGAGTGGGGTTTTGGGGTTTTGGGGTTTTGGGG